GTGTTTGGGAGCAAATCTGCCAAAGATCGGATCTTTCTTGCTTCACGAGTATTTTCTCGGGAAGGTGTTATTTAATTATTTGTTCTTACTTGTTCTCTTGACACGGTATGTTCAAAAAATCTGAAGTACATGCAGTCATGCCGAGTCGTGACATCAACGCTTGCCCCATCTCGTAACGTGCCTGAAGTCCCGAAACCAGTTGAGCAAACATGGCATCATCCTTCATTGCAGCCTGAAGCATCGCACTTGTTGCGATGAGCTGATTGTGAGAAGAAACATTCACAGCCTCCTCACGATCCCCAAAGCTCAGCATGACTTTGCTTCCCGTAATATACTCCTGGAAAAGAAAACCAGTTGTAGATTTGGCACACCAAGGCACGCCGCCTATATTCTATTTTTTGAACTTGAAAGAACTGTCACAAACACAACGAGTCCAGCGGTGTGAGGCTCAAAGTGCTCAACCAGTGAATGAACGTGCTTAAGGGCTGGCTGTAGTCAAAATCCCTCAGCACCACCTACAATCGGTGGCACAACAGCAGTCTACAATCGGCTTCGCTCCAAGCAGTGCTATCTTCCTGTCTCCGTTACTGAGCTCCAAACACCCATATACAGCTTCCCGCCAGGGCTTCTCCGAAATTGGCCTTCAAATGAACTCCCATGAGCAGGCAGAAAACAAGGTTGGGTGAACACTGGTCACCAAGACAAACATTAAGAAGACATGAAACAACATGGAATTCTACTAGGTTCGAGGCCATCGCTACTAGGTTGGAGGCTATGGCACAAAGGTTGGAGGCCATCGCTCATAGATTGGAGGCCATCGGGGGTGGTGAAAGCTACGGGGAAGAAGCAGCGCTGGGGCCTGTTTGGCAGCAGAGCCCACGCCGGGAGTCCCAACATATCATGGTCGAGGGCAGGGGAGGAGAGCGCCAACAGCGCCCCCCGATACAACCCCAACACAGGCAACACACAACCACCCAGGCCCTGCAACAGCAACAGAAGCGACAACAACCAGCAGCAGAAGCAGCAGCAGATGCACGATTGACCAACACCGACGGGTTTCGTACAAACAATGAACAATCACAACTGGGATCTCAAAAATAGTTTGTTGTTGGTGTAAACTGTTGTTTGGTGTAAACCGCGGTTGGTGTAGACCGTGGTTTGGTGTAAAGGGTGGTTGGCGCAAGCCGTGGTTTGGTGTAAATGGTGTTTGGTGTAACGGTGGTTTGGTGTAAATCGTGGTTTGGTGTAAACCGTGGTTGGTGCAAACCGAGCAGCAGGAGCATCAGCAGCGGCGGCAGTAGCAAACCACCAAGCAGCAGGCAGGTAGAAAGTTGCAGCCAGCAGCAAGCAGCAAGCTGCAGCCAGCAAGCAGCAAGCAGCAGCAGCAGCAGATGCACAATTGACCAACACCGACAGGTTCCTTACAACCAGTGAACAACGACAGCTGGGATCTCAAAGTTGCACCGGCATAGACCCTAGATAGCGGCAGATAGCGGGTGTATTGGTTTGAAAGGACACGCCATCGACGGCTGTCACCGCAGCATACAACATCAGACCAGTCCACCAATCTGCGCAGCATCTATCAGCTGAATGCGCCCGCTTTGCCCAACACAGATGTAAGACACTGCAAGTTCAGCCAGGACCCACAAGATGACCATTGCTGCACATGGCGTCACCCACGATACGACAGCATGTCATCCCTGGCACGACGCGATGTCGCGCCTGGCGTGACATGATGGCGTTCTGGGCACGAGGTGCCCTGGCATCCTTGGCATAACGCGACGTCGTTCTGGGCGTGACATGATGTCATCCCCTGGCAAAACATGCTGTCATTCTGGGCACGACATGATGTCATCCCCTGGCAAGACATGCTGTCATTCTGGGCACGACATGATGTCATCCCTGGCATGACATAATGTCATCATGTCTTTCTGGGCATGACATGACGTCATCCCTGGAAGGACACGATGTCACCCCTGGTGCGGGATGATGTCATCCCTGGCATGACATCGCGTCATCCCTAGCATGACACAATGCCACCTGGCATGACATGATGCCATCCCTGGCATGACGCAAAGCGAAACGCGGATCCAGAGCCAGCGCCTGCACCAGCACCAGCACGGCATGAGCACCACCAATACAAAACGCCGATCCAGCACCAGCATCAGCACAGCAGCAGCACCGGCAAACCAAAATGCCGGTAACAGAGCCAGCACCCACCTGCACCAGCATCAGCACGGCAGCACCGGCACCAGCACCAGCACCAGCACGGCTGCAGCGCCCGCAAAACGAAATGCCGATCCAGAGCCAGCACCTGCACCTGCACCAGCATCAGCACGGCACCCGCAAAACCAAAACGCAGAGCCACACCACTGAGAAGTTGGAACCCCTATAGCCTGCAGCTATCTGGGGAAATATGTTTGCTGTTGCCGTAAACCGTGATTTGATGTAAACGGTGGTTGGTGCAAACCGTGGCTTGGTGTAGACGGTGTTTGGTGTAAACCGTGCTTTGGTGTAAAGTGTGGTTTGGTGTAAACGGTGGTTTTATGTAAATCGTGGTTTGGTGCAAACCGTGGTCGGTGCAAACCGAGCAGCAGCAGCAGCAGCAGCAGCAGCAGCAGAGAAACAGCAAGCAGCAAGCAGCAGCGGCAGCAGCAGCAAAGCAGCAGCAACAAAGAAACATAGAAACAGCATGAAACAGCACAGCAGCGGCAAAGAAGCAGCAACAGCAACAGCACAGCGGCCACGTTGGGAACTGGGAACCGGTCAGGGGGGAAGGGGGGAGTTGAACCCGCGGGGAACCGTTAGGACTCGGGTAGCTAGCTACAGCTCTTAGGTCGGAGGCCATCGTTCTTAGGTTGGAGCCCGGCGCTCTTAGGTTGGAGCCCCTCGCTCTTAGTCTTAGGTTGGAGGCCAGTGCTCTTAGGTTGGGGACCATTGCTAGTAGGTTGGTCTCCCTCTAAGCGTGAATTAGACTACGTGGACCGGACGTCATGAAAGCGTGACCGGCGCCTTGCAGCCGCAGCTCCCAGCGACGCGTCTTCTTGGCAAAGTACTGGGCGTATGGAGTCGTCGGAGCAGTGTTCTGCTCGGTGGTGCGATGCATCATCAGCATCTGCCCACGGAAATACTCATTCTCCTGCATAAAACCATGGCATTTCATCCTTTCATGTCAAGACTGCAGGACATAGCTTTCACGCGATCCGGAATATGTAACTAGCACAGACCGTCAGAGCTTGAAGGAATTGAAACCTTTATCTTTGAATGCTAAGTCAAATAAGAGGTCATCGCAGAACGGTATGGAAAAGTAATGAAAGTAAATGGAAAGTAATTATCAGAAGTAAGTAGTCATCAAGCCATGGCGCAATTCTGTCGCCCATAGTGTTCAAGGCAAGCGGTGTCGCCGGAGAGAGCGCTGCGGACTTGCAGCGTCTCTGCAGCTTTTGATTTGGAAGATTGGTTGCCTCGAACAGGAGAAATGTGCTGGCAGAGCCTGCAGGATCTTGGATTTGTTGCCTGGCAACGCTGTCCAAGACAAAAGTTGGTTGAAGAAAAGGCAACCGTGGAGAGATCTCTATGCAGACCACAGGAGAAGTTGGTGGGAACCCAAGTTTTCACACGGTGTCACAGGCCTCAAGTTGCGCCTGCTCTGCTTGTTCACCAGCGAGGTATCAGTTCCATCAGGCGCTTCTACTTCCACAGGCGTAGAAGCGCTCCAGACCCCACAGCCTGCGGACGTCGTCGACAAAGTCCAAACAATCTGCTCACTCGAGAAACATTTAGGACAAGCTAAACATTGCTAAAGGCTTTCACATGCGTTCGCTATGAAACTCGCCTGCAAAGCAGGACAACCACTCTTTCCACCAATTCGCGGCGGCGGTGCCCTGCGGTTCATCCTGGAAATGAAGGCGGTTCATTTCATATGCATAAACAGTGCATTGACAGCTGTTGAGTAGCTTGTCAGCTAATCTTTTGAACCCCAATGATACCTACCTCAGTTGGCTCATCCAGCTCATCTTCGTCACAAGACTCTGCCTCATCGCAGTTGTCGCCTTGGTTGCAACGGCGGAACTTGCACTGTGCTGCACCAGAGCAATTCCCTTTTCAGTGTGCAAGTAATCAAATGATTGAATGCAACATATTTAGTTCTTTCGGCATTCTCCCCAAACCCGGTTGTGGAATTCAAATGAAATGTCAGTTGGCAAGGAAGAGACGGTTCTTTTCAAAGCGCTTCAAAATCTTGCCGCTTCTACTTGTGGATTCCATGACACCTGGCACTTCTGTAGCACCAGTCTCATCGCACTGATTGGACTCCGGCTCCGCCGACGGCTCCTGCAGCGTTCAAGCAATCTTACGCGTGTCCGCAAATTCTTCCGTTTAGAATATCAGTCACGCACCACGCAGTGCACATACACTTGCACCCTGCACCAACCTACATATGTTCTTTGGGCAAAAAGTTGTCACCGCAAGCAAGGGCTTCATTGACTTTTGACGAAAGCCAGTGTCCGTCAGGTATTCCCATGCCGAAGTGAAGCCAAAGCCAATCACCCCTGCACTTGCAAGCAGGACATCACCGCCAGCCGAGGCAAGGTCAAGTGCACCAGCAGATGCAGTACTGATCCATTCGGTTGCCCACCAGCTCTCTCCGCTGGCAGCGGTGCTCGCAGCGTCGCTGTCAGCGGTGCTCGCAGCGTCGCTGTCAGCGACCATCTTGTCTGCATGATCCATCGATGCCGCGGAAGCAGGACTAGAAGTCCCGATACACGACAACCAACAAGAAACAAAAATGTTTCTTGCCGTCAACAAACTGAGCGCTGCCCTTGTCTGAGCTCAAGGCTTGATCCAAGGGCTGCGTTGTGAAACATCTTGTCCAACAACTTCCCCCCATCAAAAGTACTGCAATGTGATCGTATCTCTCCAGCCCAAGCATAATCAAACAAGCACAAGAAAAGATAGCCATCTCAGCGGTCTTTCACTGTATAATTGTCAGCATCTTCTGCCTCGAAGCCAAATTGTCTTTGCCCGGGAACACACCGCCCGAACCTGGTCATGCAATGAGACGTCTTGTCAAAACTCACCCGACTTATCCCGACTCATCTCGCATGAAAGTGGACGCTACTAGGAACAAGTGCATCGCTACTAGTAACAAGTGCCTTACTAGTAGTAACAAGAAGCTACTAGTAACGAGTGCCTTACTACTAGTAACAAAAAGAAAGTGGACGAAGTGAACTGTGGACAAGCCTCTTTTGGTACTGCCATATGATCCGCTTCAATGTTGACTCAAAGGGTCCATGAGCATCCTTCCTCTCGTCACTTCAATCAGTTCATCGCCAGTTCCCTCTGTTCCATGCACCTGGTGAGGCGTCTGTCTTCGCGTCGCTGTCGCTGTCCGCCTCCGTCTGGCGCAGTGGTGTAGTCGGGGCGCCGAGGTCCCTTCGGTTGGCACTGAGGTCCCAACGATCAGGTCATGCAGCGAGCAACGCGCGCGTGGCCTCGGCATGCTGAAGCAAAAGGTCCAGTTCTTGGGGCCAGTTCTTGGGGCCCCCCACCTGGACAGAGAGCTGGCCTACGTGCTGAAACATAGGTAAAGCCAAAGCCAGAACAGTCCAAAGCACCGCCTCCAATCTTTGTAGGAAGGAGCTACGCATATGCTCTGCTTCTGGCAGCCTAGACCTGCCAAGCTCGATAGAAGAGAAGGTAGGTTGGGGGTAGGCCATTAACTACTACCAGGAGCTACTTACTAGTAGCTTCTTGTTCCTAGTAGTACTGCCAGGAGCTACTAGTAGAGCTACTAGTAGCTTCTTGCTACTAGTAGCGATGCACCTTGTTGCTAGTGATACTCGTGGCAATGGAATCTGTCTGTCCACAAAACATGTGGACACCGACACCGCCTTCGCTCTCCATGGGCAGCTCCGCCAGCTCCCCTTGGGCCTGTTCGCAGAGCGACAGGCACCTTGGTCAATTTTGTTACTAGTAGCTTCTTGTTCCTAGTAGTAAGGCCAGGAGCCCCTAGTAGCGTCCCTGCTCCTGGTAGCGATGCCCTTTGTTACTAGTAGCGTCCTTGTTCCTTTGCATGTGTTGAGTGCCTCTTGAGTGACACTCTGCCTTGCTGAAGGCTCTCGGACTCCGGCTTCCAATCTATCGATTCTCGACATGGCGTCCATCCGGGTCAAACCATGACTTCCACATACAGTTATGCTGCTATGCATGGAAACATTTGTACTTAAAGAGTCTCTACAATAATTCCAAGACCACAAGAGTCACAAGAGAATAACTTGCTATCATGGCAAACACTAGGATGGCATGTCTGTGGCGGTTCCTTTTTAAGCCGCTGTAGCCAAGGGAAGTCACGCATTGCAGACAGAGATTGAGGCTACTTATGTGTTGTTCCTCAAGACGGTGTTTGCAACCTCTGTACTCAAATGGAGTCTGCGAACGTGGCCATTCCTTGAAGAGGAAAGAACTCAGCACGCACCGCACCTGCTGGGTCATCTCGTCAATGTGCACCTAGCAAATCTGTAACTGAGGAGCAAACCGCTTGGCATCGCGTCCTGCTTTGAGCCTTGCTGACCGAAATATCCTCCTTCAGTTTTGAAACCGCCTGCGAAGATGGCAGTTCTGAGCTCAAGAACCAGGCCTTGTTACTAGTAGCTTCTTGCTCCGAGAAGTAAGGCCAGGAGCCCCTAGTAGCGTCCTTGCTCCTAGTAGCGATGCCCTTTGTTACTATTAGCGTCCTTGTTCCTTTTCTTTGAGTTCTCAGTCGGGATGTGTTTTGAAGAACATGGCAGTCTCAAAGCGATCTTTTTCCACCTCAGTCATGACAGAGAGCTCCTCACTGATGGACTGGACAGCTGCCTGTGAAAGAGAGCAACGTGCCAAGTTTCCCAAGTAGCAATTCTGCCCAGCCTCCTGCATCTCGGTGGATTGGTAGCTGGATTGGTGGACTGGCGAAGCTTCCTGGATGCTTCGGAAAGAGTCCTGCCAATGCAAATGAGGCTCATATGGCAGTAAAAGCTTAAAGCGGCTCCACCTTTCGTCTTGCATCGGAGATTGCATCGATTTTCTTCTCTAAGACCATGATCTTATCCTTCAGATCAAAAAGGCAGAAGCAAGCATGAAGCAAGCACAAATTGCTTGCGCTGGCCTCCAGATTTAAGATGATCCGGCGAACTACGGCACTGATTTCCTGCCAAAGGAAAGTAACTACTGCACACTTTGGGAGTATCTGTTGAGCAAGAATACCTTCTGCGAACAAGGACCAAAACAGCCATCGGATAAAACAGCCGTCGGATCCTGTCCACCAAGATCTCCAAGGATGCGTCGGTTGTCCTTGATCGAGTATTCTAGCTTTCCCACCTGCAACAGCCGAATCTTTGACACATTCGCGCCATCAACTTGGACGACGCAATTAACAGCCTTCTCGGACAACTGCGCCACGTCGGGCGCATCCGCCTCGCAAGGCCGGAGTCTCATCGGGGAGTCTCATTGGGGCCCACACCAGTCTCCCTGATCATGCTGTCCCGATGAGACTCCGAATCTACGAGCTTTGCCTTCTGCTTCTGAAGGCCCGTGATCGCCTGCTGTGTCCAGGCCTTTGCCTGACAAAACGCGTCTGGTGAAGCTATACTTAATAGGTTCTACGCATCTTGCTCACTGCTCTCACTCCCTCTCCCTCTCTGTTAGTATTCATGGAAGGCTCCTCGGTGCTTTGATTTGCGCCTCCCCCAACTCATGGACAAACTTGCGGTTGGCATTGTATGTTGTGGCCTCGGTTGCGCAAAGTCGTAGATGTCCAGCAAAGCTTCGCCAGGTTTCTGGGCTAGTGGCGGACATTTCCTTTAGCTCGACCTTCAGGCTGTGTCTCAATTGAGGGAATTCCCTAAAATGGACTCGGACAGTTCATCTGCAGTAGTGTGTTTCTTGTACCAAAGGATATTTGATGCAGCTCCTCATGTTCAAATCAGTAACAAAGACATCTCATTTAAAAGGATCTCGGGACAAAGGCGAGCTCGGCTCGGATCTCTGGCGGCCTTCATAGCTTGATGATCCGACCTCAACTCATCAAAGCCTTTCTGCACCTCAAAGCGCTTCTCAAACATTCAAAGGAGAAAGGCAAAATAGGGCGAACAATTGAAGTCACCACTGCCAAGGCAAGTCAAGTCATTAAAGCCACACCTTGGTGAGCTCAGTACGGGGAACCGCCACAGCTTCTACCTGTGACAAGAGGTGCCGAAGGCGCACCATGACATCCCGAACAAGGGCAGACCTGTGCTTGCTTGTTTCACTGCTTGAAGGGCTTCAAAAAGTCTAGGAACCAAATGCTTAGTGCGAGCGCTTCTTCAAGGAAGCTGCCCCCGCCCAGGTGGGGCATCCTACCTAGGGGAGGTAAGATAGCAATTAAAGCAAGTAAGTTGGCGCCTACTTAATTAAGTAGTAGGGGGGCAGAGCGGCTGCAAAAAGAGGCAAACCTGTCTACATCAATCACTCCTCGCCTTGTAAAGCTTCTCAGAGAAGTCTGCAAGGTTCTGAGCTGTGAACTTGGTGTCACCCTGAGGAATCGCTCATCGCAGACGCTAACAAGGTGTGGAAACTGGCTGACAAGCTCAAAAAAGGGTGGCTCGCATAAAGGTCCATGACGGCCAATGATGATTTGAGGAGAGTTCTACAATCTCCAACCATCCAGTTTTCAAAATCTTCAAAAACTTAAGTTCTTCATAGAAGGGTTTGCCCTTTACTACGTACGAGAACTCTTCCTAAGAGGCCTCTCTGGCGCCTTAGGCAGGGTTCTACATGCGAAAAAACCGGCTTCGTTCCAGGCCTCCAGGGACTCGATGCGAATCTTCAAATCTGCGGCGAGTCCCACGCATGTTGACGTGTTGCACTATGGCTCGCAGAGGGGGTGTGTTCCTTGTTCCTGGGAATGTTCCTTGGTTTCGAAAAACCACAAGAAGACACTTCATCTGAGAAGCTCTTCAGTCCCTGAAATCACCTCTAGAATACCGATTGCCTGGAATGTTGAGCTTCTCGAAGAATTTAAAACGCCTCGAAGCTTGTTGGCACAGTGGATTTGTTGAGTCCAAGAAAGGCCTCTTTCTGGAATGCTGATGAATGCTGGGATGTTTGCGCCAGTAACTGCTGAAGCTCCTCCCGGTCTGCTTTCTGGACGTGATCATTGTCCTGGCATGATGCAGGGACTGTCTGTGAAAGCCAGGAGGCTCGTTCTCAAGCAGGCAATGACTGCCTGCGCCCTCCTGAGGTTGAACATGTCACTTCCAAGCCTGAGGGATTCACTCTGATCGACTCAGTCCGACTCAGCGAAAGACTTGAGCCTCTCGAGACGCTCTTCCAAATGCATCATCTGTGGCATCATCACCTCAACAAAACTGGGCGTTGGCAGCGTGAGGTCCTCCGATCCCATCTGGGATGAGAATCAGCGTGAGCAGTAGCAGGGCCCAGTGCGTTTTACCCAGAAAAAGTGGCTTTGGCAAGAGGCGTTCTCGTTCGTATTGGTGGCCACGGCTCAAACAGGGAGATGCTGGTCTGTTTCCTGTGAAAGACATTGTTTCAGTAGGTGCAATAGTTGCTCATCATTGCTCTATACTGTATACTTCGCACCTTTGCTCTGTACTTGCATCCTTGTCAGCTTTGATACTGTATGACATGAACCCAACAGCTTCTCCCAAACTGAATGTTAGATATTCTAATCACTCTTAATTGTAGAGTATATTGCCCTCTATCCTGTTCTAGTCTTCTCTATCCTGGCTTGCTCTGACTCTTGTTCACCTTGAACTACATATACGATTCAGTCTATGCTGTTCAATCAAATCTATGTGCCCTCCTGATAAAAGCAGGATCAGTTGTACAAGATGTGCAAGTCCAATCAACAAACAAAGCAACACAGATAGACAAACAAATCAACCTTTGTGGAGCTGGAATGTGGCGGGTCATAGCCAGTATACATATACATACATGGATATATATATATGTGTATATATCATTGTGCCTGTTAAATGACAAAACTCTGCACAAGAAATCAAAAGCAAAAGATTTGAGCTCACTGCCCCGGAGTCTTCTGAGAAGTTGGCCACAATGGCATCTGCGAAAGGGCAGAATTCATCAGAATTTGTCTGCTTTGACTTCGGTTCACACTTCACCCCTGTCCTGAGTCACGTAGAGTATTCCATGCCTCAAAGGCGAGATTTGAAGCTTACCGTGTTATCCAAAAGAGGGCCGAGAGCCCAGCAGGGGCTTGTGATTTTGGCATGGGTGGCGGAGTGGCACCACCGGTTTGAAGCCACCTGCAGTCTATCAACGTCAATGGCCGATGGTGCAACCTGCTCACACTGGGTAGCCCATCCTCGTGGCTATCCATGCAGATTTTGGGGTGAGATCACATTCTGGGCGTTCAAGGGGGCTGATTTACAGCTGCAAAAACCCACCGCTGCGGAACCAGCTACGCTAGGCCACAAGCTGAATGATCTTCGCTTCGAAGTCGTCCCGGTCGGTCTCAAACCTGCCCAGGTCTCACAGCTCTACGAAGCCCCCACATCTTGTCGGGAAGCATGTCAGGGCGACTTCTCGAGGCACATGGCCAAGTCACGGCCCATCTCATCTCGTGGTTTATAACACCAGCTCCACCTCGGCAGATCTCATCATCTCAGATCCGGTCCAAAATCATCCTCCGACAAACCGACAAACCAAGGCTTTGTGGATTTGCCATCTGGGAAGCCTGGCTTGATGTCTGGCTCACCAGCGAGTTGCCAGGGGAGACGGCTATCTTGCTCCTCCACTGTGAAGGTGCGGGTCCTGCAGTCGTGCAGTGTTCAGGTCCTCGAAACAACACATTTTCGTCACTGAGGATGGGACTCCACATTTTCGTCAAACATCACGTGTCGCTTGCCAGCATCTGTTCCGTCACTTCCAGCTTTGAACTCCTTGGTGAGGTCACTTCGACAGCTGCTCACAGACTCTCCACCCAACTCTGAGATCAAAGCCACCTTGATCTCGTCCTCCTTAACATGGAAAGCATCAGGTTTTAACCCAAAGCATAAAAGCAACATAATCTCAGACTTGGGTTGAGTCCTCAGCAGGCTCCGGAAATAGCTGTCTTTGCAAAATCCTGGCAACAGTAATGCGAGACCAAAGCTTTCTTTCT